AATAGACAGTGGGGAGGAAGATGGGGAGAGCCAGGAAGCAGAGATCCAGAAAGTAGCAGACAGAAGGAGCAAACAAAATGAAAGGCAACAATAGAGCAAGGGATTGATTTTTCATTGGCTGCTGGTGAAGAGTGCGAACAGCATTCCTCCTGCTGCCATTTGCATTCCAGCCGAGCAGCGAGGTGGAGTAAGAGTCTGCCTAAAAGCTGACTAGCTGTCAAATGGAAAACCATCCACCTCTTAGGCCATGTCCATACTACTCCGTTTTTGCTACGTTTACACTGAGCGGCCACACTACGCCGGAGTTTTGGAGCACCCTAAACAGAGGAGTCTGAAAACTCCCGAGGTTGGAGGCGTTTGAAAACTCCGGGTTTGCGTTTGCGTGTGGACGGTCGGATACGGATGTGCTTAGAAAAAAATATGCCCACACCCGTGTTCGCTACCGGATTGGTTCTTGGCAACCATGACGTCTCCGTCCCTGATTCGTCACACTCACTATCATGTGACCCGTACCCGGAAGAAAACAAACTGGGCTACCAGCGATTCATTTCAACATGGATAACTAATTGCAAGCGTTGCTGCTAAAAGTCTGCATTTCTGTGGAGGAAGCAGCTGTTATTAGAATGATTAGCGAGCGGCGTGACCAGCATCAGCCCTATGGAGCAGCTCGTTGTTTTTAGATTCTAATGAGAAGACATGCTGCACTAACGTTTTACTTCTTCCGTTTGGTAGCCTTGAGAGACCTTAGTCTGCAAGTATGTCTTTATGAAGCATGACAAGATGTACGTAGATATATTCTATTCGCGTGTTTAGTATAACATTTGTGTTGTATTAAATGCTAATCGCGGTTAGCATTTCTCCATTGGCGGTAATGTTAAAATTAGCTTAGAAGCTAGCTAGGCGGACATGATGTTCAGAGCTACTAGTGAGAACAGACATATCAAACACGGAGGAAACGAGTGAGAGACGTGTGTTGACCACATTGATGGACCCATAATCTAGTAAACGTTTACGTGTAAGTGTTGATGTTAAAGTAAATTTGATGTGAGAGAGAGAGAGAGAGAGAGAGAGAGAGACCCGCAGCGCTGTAACTACGTCTGAAAAATAAAACTTTCCACGAACTGTGTCTGTTTGAGTTTATAGCGGGAGATTTTAGAGGAAGATCTTAAGTATCAAATACATTATTAAAGACTACTTTATTACGCTGTCATATTTTTTTTTTAACTAAGCAAGCAATCCACTTCCTGTTTACACCATCACGAGCATGCCCAGTGTATGCAGATCAACTCGAGAATGATGCTGAAACTCCCGTGTGGACGGAGATCGGTTCTATTTGACAACTCTGCATCCAAGTAGAAACAGAGTAATGTGGACAGGGCCTTAAACTCCCCCCGTGAACCTGCAGAACCTGTCTTGATATGTAATGGCTTTTAGCCCTGCCTGTTCCACAAATAACAGCCGAGGCTTTCACACACTACGGAGCGAAGGATTAGCGTCGACTATTTCTCAGTTTTACAACAACGGCGATACGACAACGAGCAATGTCACAGAACGCCTCAACAATCCTGGCATGTCAACTTTGTCACGCAAAACATCAGCAGTCTTTAACAAGGGTGAAACCCACGATTTAGAATAAGCTTAACTTAAACAGGACTGCCTGCTGAAGAAACTGGGGTTATAAGCGGGTCTCTCACATGGCGACGTGGGTGGCCTACAAATTAATGAATGAATAAATAAAGTAAGAATTGTTGATATGGTTTTGAAACAGCACTTAGACCTTTAATTAACAGAACAGACTCCTGGCTCCTGTCCAGTACAGACGGTGTACAATTATAAAATGACAAGAGAAACTTAACTGCACGTTCAAAAGTTTCCAAACACTTCCTTGTGTTGCGTGTGCGCGAGCTGGACCCTGCCCATGCCGGAGTGAGCCATTCCTTGACTGGCAGAGCAGAATTGATAGGCCGCTATTGTTTCCTTTTAAGGTCAATTGTGTCTCAGATGCTTGGCATGGCTGGGAGTGTAAGATGCAGCCGGCTGGCAGCAGAGAAGAAACGCTAATTTAACTGCATTCTTCTGTGCAGTCCACACCTAGAGAGAGACAGAGGAAGGGAGGCAGAGAAAGAGATGGCATGAGAGAGAGTATGAAAGACAAGTGGGGATGAGGAAGGCAACTGGAGGTGGAATTGTAAAAGATTTGAAGAGGTTTAGATGGAGAGAAGTAAAGAAATGTACAACTAAAAGGTGAAAACGAGTACGTTACTCTGAATAAATACAGCTACATATCTAAGATAAAATGTTTGAATACTATGCTAAAGAGGAAAGGACAGAGGATGGCTGGACCGGTTTAGCCTCACGAATAAACCTAGCCGCTGGGAGAAAGAGAGGGAGCCGGCTGAAGGTTGAATCCTAAAATATGCCGGGTATTCCACAATGTTCCACGGTGCACAAATGAGCCACTCATGGACTTGAGGGTGTTATAGGATTCCTGTGAGGCTCCTGTGTCTGAATGTGTCCACATGCACACACACACATATATGTACACAAAACACACAACTTCACTGTGGGTGAGATGGACATTCAATGCTACACCAGAGAAAAGTTAATTTGATAATAAAAAAGGTAAGATTCCATCAAAAAGTTTAAATTCAAATAACTAGGGAACGGATTGCTGTCTTTACTGTACAGTAAATACAAACTACATTTTGATTGAATTGTGTCTTTTGTCATACAGCTATCCAGATGTTTAGCCATAAAGAGAGGCTCAGAGAGAGAGAGAGAGAGAGAGAGAGAGAGAGGAGATAACAAGTGAAGGGACCACCAGAGGGGAGGAGATGACGCGATCATTGTCTGAGTCGCTGTGTTTGTCTGCTTAACTCTAATGGGA